CGTTTTGTGTGTGTGTGTGTGTGTGTCTAGTAATTTGTATTTTCAACTTTAACGACACTTCTACTACCGCCTCTAATTTAGAACTGCTGACCACAGCTTAGGCAACCAGTCTGCAGCACCAGCCGCCTACGCATATAATCTTAACGGAATAAATGAAAATCAATTTTAATCTATTCTTCCTCCCCGAATTTGCCCGGCATGGCCAGGTGGATAAGGCGCTCAACTCACAATCTGAGAGTCGCGGGTTCGAATCCGCATACCACCAAACATGCTCGCCCTTTCAGCCGTGGGGGCGTTATAATGTGACGGTCAATCCCATTATTCGTTGGTAAAAGAGTAGCCCAAGAGTTGGCGGTGGGTGGTGATGACTAGCTGCCTTCCCTCTAGTCTTACACTGCTAAATTAGGGACGGCTAGCGCAGATAGCCCTCGTGTAGCTTTGCGCGAAATTAACAAAAAACAAAACAAACTCCCCGAATTTTGACAACTAAACGATCAATTTTTTATTCCCTAGATCGTACAAGGAGGTTACCAAGCGTGCCTTTATTATATCTAATCTAACAATGAACTTTGAGCGGTTTTCAAGAAATGTTCTCGTGCTCCCCCCCCCCCCCATATCAAGAATAAAGCTCATATGTAGCCCGAAAAGTTTTAAATTAATTTTATTTTTGTTGGGGGGGATGTTTTTTTCTTATAGCAAAGCCACATCGAGCCATCTGCCGTGTCTACTGATGGGGAATCGAATCCCTGATTTTAACGATGTAAATCCGTAAACTTACCGTTGTCCCACCGGAGGACATTTTATTTTTGTCTCATCACATCACTTTGTCTAAAGGAAATCTTCACACGTTTCACTGAACTTAATTTTTCTTTTATACTTTTGTCCCCCCCTCCCCCCAAAAAAAATTAGCTTAAAAAATCTTAGGAAAATTACAAAAATGAACAGATTTATGAAAGAAAAAGAAACGCATTGAAGAAACACATGTTTTTTGTTTGTAATTAAGCACAAAGCTACACAATGGGCTA